TTTTTAAAAATTTATCCATTTCCCAATTTATCTATTTATGTGACATCCTCCAGAACTAATGTTCTGTGGAACTCATTTTATGAAAGTGCTTGAAACCCTCACACCTTGGCCCACTTTCACTTCTGGTTTTTCCAAGGCTAACTCAGTCCCTGACTTTGAATTTCAGGGAATCAGATTTTAGTTCTAAATTCTAGTTCTTTCTCAAGTTCTGAAGCATTTTTTTTCTTGTTAATCCTCACCCGAGGATATTTTTCCATTGATTTTTATTTATTTTTTAAAATATATTTTTATCAATTTCAGAGAGGAAACAAGGAGAGAGATAAAAACATCAATGATGAGAGAATCATTGATTGCCTGCCTCCTGCACGCCCCCTACTGGGGATCGAGTCTGCAACCCAGGCATGTGCCCTGACCAGGAACAGGAACGGAACCCTGGTTCATAGGTTGATGCTCAAGCACGGAGTCATGCCCGCCAGGCCCATTGAAGGGAGGGAGACAGAGAGAGAGAAACATCAATGTGAGACACATTGATTGGTTGCCTCCCACACTCACCTGACCAGGGCTGCAGATCCAGCTTGCAACCAAAGTACGCGTGCCCTTCAGTCCGAGGGCTGACGCTCTGTCCACTGACCTAAACCAGCTAGGGCTGTTCTGAATCATTTTTTTTAATTTCTTTTAAAATTGTGTAATATATTACAGACATACAAATATACAAAACCAGTTATAGAGTTTAATAAACTATTGTAAAATGAATTCTTGTGTTGCTACTATGCAGGTCAAGAAATAGCCACTATCCTGTCTTTTTTGATAATCACACACTTAAATTTCTTTATAGTTTTACTTTCTTTTTAAAAATATATTTTTATTGATTTCAGAGCAGAAAGGAGAGGGAGAGAAACATCAATGATGAGAATCATTGACAGGCTACCTCCTGCACAGCCCCTACTGGGGGTTGAGCCTGCAACCCAGGCATGTGCCCTTGGCAGGAATTGAACCCAGGACCCTTCATTCTGCTCTGTTCACTGAACCAAACCAGCTAAGGTTATAGGTTTACACGCTAAAGCAGCAGTTCTCAACCTGTGGGTCACGACCCCCTTGGGGGTCGAACGACCCTTTCACAGGGGTCGCCTAAGACCATCAGAAAACACATATATAATTACATATTGTTTTTGTGATTAATCACTATGCTTTATGTTCAATTTGTAACAATGAAAATACATCTTGCATATCAGATATTTACATTACGATTCATAACAGTAGCAAAATTACAGTTATGAAGTAGCAATGAAAATAATTTTATGGTTGGGGGTCACCACAACATGAGGAACTGTATTAAAGGGTCGCGGCATTAGGAAGGTTGAGAACCACTGCTCTAAAGTATCCTCACATAGTTCTGTCTAGTGTGGCTCAGTTGGTTGGGAGTCAACCGGTGCACCAAAAGGTTGCTGGTTCGATTCTCCCTTAGGGCACGTGCCCAGACTTGGGGGTTCGATTCCCTGGTAGGGGTGTGCTGGTGGCAGCCCATCAACTCACATATTTCTCTCTCTTCCCCCTCCTTTCCTCTCTCTCTCAAATTCAATAAAAATATTTAAAAATAAAAAAGTAGCCTTAGCCGGGTTGGCTCAGTGGATAGAGCATCGGACTGCGGACTGAAGGGTCCCGGGTTCGATACCGGTCAAGGGCAGTACCTTGGTTGCAGGATCCTCCCCGGCCGTGGGGACCCTGGTCAGGGCGTGTGCAGGAGGCAATCAATATTTCTCTCTGTCTTTCCCTCTCTCTTCCACTCTCTCTAAGAAATCAATGGGAAAATATCGTCGGGTGAGGATTAAAAACAAAAACAATAAAAGGACAGTATCCCTCCACAGAAGACTGAAGGAATTTGAGGCCAGAAAGCGAGAGGCGGACACCATGCGTGGCACCTCGCTGGGGCTCCTGTGAGCTGCTGCGGGCAGGGGAAAAGAGATGGTGGTGGTGGCGGTGGTGGTGGTGGTGGTGTTAGCTCTGCCCAAATGGAGACCGACGCCCAAGTGCGACGCTGCCCTAAGGGAAGGGAGATAAAGCCGGTCACTCCAGATTGTAAGCCGAGCGAGGAACCCGAGCTGCTCCGCTGGCGATGATGGGTGGGGCAGTCCCAGTCAGTCCTAACGAGGGCTATTGCCCCACCCGGAGGGGAGGCAGCTCCGGCCTCCAGGAACCCCTCCGGGGCCTGGCGGAGCGCAGCCCACCGCAGGTGGCTGCCGCCTGAGGGCAGAAACAACCCTGTTTCAAAGGCGCAGGCGTCTCCCGCCGGAGGCGAAGACACAGCCCTACCCTCAGGAGCCACATTCCCTCAATCCCCGGATCCAAAGCTAATTCCTACAAACCAAGATCGAGAACTTCTCGGCTGCCCACGCCCCGCGGGGAAGAGCGCACGCAGCCGTCGCGCAGTCCCAACTCAGTAGAGGCGGTTCGGCTTTTTGTCGCCAGCTACGCGGGCTCCCCGGGTCCCCGGGACGCGGGGATGGGTGCTGGGTGGGAAGGGCGGGGAGGGGGCGGCAGCTCCTGGGCATCCTTTGCACCCGGCCACCCCATCCCCCTTCCCCGAGGGCTTTTGCACACGACGCACGGCGGGCCGCTTCACACGGGGTGGCGAGGGCCGAAT